CTGAAACCTGTGCAGGTTGGAGGCTTGGTGAGGGTATTGTGTAGTTGAGGGATGGGGTTGCATGCAGATCTATAGCCTTGAGCCCAGTAGGCATTTCTGTATGCAGAGATTTTGAGCTGCTTTTACTGCTGAAGCTGAAGGAGAGTCCATGTCAATAACGGCACGGCTCATCTGCAAAGGTTCAGGTTGCCTTTATTTTTAATCACATGCCTTTCTCTGTCCTCCTCCCCCCCAGCGTCACCTCCCAGTTTCTCCAAAAGTCCATTAAGGGCCTTGCTAAAAGCTCGCTCAGGCAGCGAAGTCACTCTTGAATGCAAGCCTCAGGCCTCGCCCCCAGCAATTAGCCTGTGGAAGAAAGGGAATGAGATCCTGCAGAGAACTGAAAGGTAGGATAAAAGTCCAAGTGCATATTCCTAGCAGCTTTTATTCACATTCACTGCAAGCCGACTTGTTTGAATAGCGTATTTGGCATTTGTGCAGGTGCATAGAGAGAAAGGCTAATGAGGAAAATGAGAGCAGGGCACCCACCAGGTAAATTGCACATGGCTAATATACTGCATGTGGCCTCGTGTGCACATAACTTAGTGTGTGGGATGTAGATGCTCGCTGGTCGTATCAACACTGCATGCATGGAATATTTAAGATGATGAAAGATTAGCAAATGGAGTCGCAGCCGAAGACAAAGCCTGTCTGCTTTTAGACACCTGCAATTAAATGTAAAAGTGATCTGCTTGATAGTTTGATGCGAAGCTGCAAGGACATAAACCTTGCTGAAGATTTGAGAGCAGAGTCATCTCACTAGTCTAGAAACTCCACACAGAGATAAGACGCAGACAATGAGCAGACTTCAAGCACCACTTTAGGCGGCCTAAAGAGGTGCTTAATTTAGTTTGTTGTCCTTTGCTGTCTGATTTCTTATTGAATACACCAGAGGCTGAAAACATTTTGCACAACACTAAAGAACCAATTAAAAGGTGGAGACATCCAAAAGCAAAACAGAGGCAAGAAATGACACATCCGAGCAATCCATCCGCTGACTTTTCGTCATCCCGATTGGAGGTAGAAGAAGAAAAGCTCAGAGGGTGACTAAACCCTGCTGCAAGTGAGCGCACGCACATCCAGAATTCTCAGCAAACGTACACACACATACACACAACAGGCAGGACAGACTGAATAAGAACAACTCCGACACAGGCATCCCAGCACTCTGAAGAAATGCGTAACTTTGTGCTGTTTGAATCACTCCCATGCTGCTTATTCAAAAGGAGGTCTGAAAGAGAACAATACGAGCATCAAGCATCTTGTCAAAACAGCACTGAGGCTCCTTAGTTGGCTCCAGATGGGGAGCTACATCTATAGCTGCAGGAAATTGGTTAAATTCCCAAGATGACTGACATTTATCACACGGTATGTGAAGCCCACATAGTCTTTCAAGGTGCACAGCGCAAGATGTATGCACACGCTGCATGGAAAGTGCTCTCTCACATATGCAGTCATGCTGTAAATTGGAGCAGTGTTTAGAAAAAGAATTGTGTATACACTACATTTGGCATATCACTAAATACTACATCAGTTAAAGCTAGTTTCACCCAAATTATGAAAAACATATTTTTACAATTACCCCTTGCAGTGTCTACCCGTGCATGTAGTATTGTTATTTACCCTGGTTCTGAGATATCCTTCTCTGAAAGATATGCCTCCACCCCGCTGTTACTCTGGATAATTTGCAGAATGCACTGTCGACAGTTTTCATCTGAACTATTTCTTTCGTACAAAGTAGCTCCAGTAACAACTGCTTACAGTAAGGTCTGTGGTTTACCCACACATCGTTTCTTGAAAGACACATTGCTGTTATTGCGGTGGGAATGGAGGCAGACCTCTCAAGGACAGTTTTCTTAGTCCAAACCAGGGCAAATAACAACAGTTCTGCACGGCTCAATATCGCGTGAGGTAAGTGTGAAAATATGTTGTCTTTTGTGATTTAAAGCAAGAGTGGAAAACTTTTTGAAAGAAAACATAACACATTCTTTCTCTCACAAATGAAAAGTTTGATTCATTAGTGATAAAATCCACACTTGCTCAGTTCAATAGACTTAGGTATTTTGTTGCTATGGCCTTACATTGTCTGGTATGGAGGGTAATGTTAGTCAAAGTAAATGCTGCTATATAACTGACATTACTGAGTCAGTTCAATGACTTTAGAAATCTTTTACTCCATTTGAGCTACTTTTACAGGAGGATTTAGCATTATTACATCTACGTCTCTTGTAGCTGCTGCTGCTGTAGTAACAGTTACGTAGTCAGTGAACCAACCCTTCAGATTTCCAAACAAAACATTACATTGTTATTATTATTTATTGATATTATAAATACTGACAATACAATATGCTATTCAGTTCAACTTGATTCAACTGACATAATTATCATAGTACTGTTCAAAAGATTGGAATCACCTGTTATATTGATGTTTTTGTTCTTTCCTTCAATAATGGCTGTTTCATAGATCCCGTGTGTAACATTTAGGAGAATCTATTGGCAGAAACTGAATTTAATATGTATAGGTATGTTTTATTTCTGTATAATTGCCTGAATATAGAGTTGTGTTTTTGTTACTTTAAAATGTGCCATGGGTCACCTTCCATGGAGTTCGCCATGTTCAACCGCCACGTTTCTACAGTAGCCCAGAACAGTAAAAACTAAACACTGCCTCTGGATAGGGTCTTTTGCATTTTCCGCAAGTTTCTCCTGCACACTTCACAGCACATTCTCAAATAATAACAGATGTCAGTGGTGTTCAGTTGTGATCTGCAGTTTTACTGCTAGATGCCACTAAATCCTACACACTGGTCCTTTAACAGATAGAACAGTATAATCTATATACCAAATTTATTATTTACATTGAAATAGCTTTGGCCCCAAAAGAAGAATATAATTAATTGATTAAAACTTCCCTTTAGTTGATGTCTCATGGTGCTGCATGACAGGGAAAAATACTGTACCCATTTTTTCCCTCCAATACCCATCGATTTTGAATTTGTTTTTCAGTCCAGTGGAAGCGTAAGTGACCCCACATCATTATTGAACCACAATGGTGCAATTGGGCTCTAAATATTTTGAGAATCAATTTTTCTTTTGGCTCCCTGCAGTCTGCTTAGTGGTTAGATTGAGTAGGTTTAACCTGTGATTTGTCAGTCCATAATATGTTCAGCTGATATTCAACCCTAGACCAACCTTCTATTTCTATTTTGAGGTTTTAAGAGTAGCTTTGCTAAAGCAAAACTCCTGTTAATTCCAGGTTGTTATAGCATGCATCATTGTGCACTTGACACTGAAACCTGCAGAGATTTTGATGCGAAGCTTACAATTTATTTTTACCAATGACTGGTGATTTCTTATATTCTTATTTAACTGTAGCTCAAAGGTTTCTTTCTGCCCTTTCACTTATCAGTCCGGTTGATCCATTGGACAGCGTTGTACTCTCCATGGACAAAACATTTCTTTTCTTTCAAACCCCTCATACAAAACAACACTCTATTTGTAAAGAGAACTCTCTACAACCTAGAAGCATGAAAGACCATTCAAAAATATGGGTTACTCCTTTTAGCCATCTGACTTTATCAAGCTTTTGTGGCAGACGATTCCAAACTTCCAAACAGTTGGGTGTATAAATATATTGCAGTGCACTATTTTTTGGGGCAATACTTGTGTTTATATGGCTTTTATTAAAAATCCAGCCTTTCAGTGCCCACTCAGCATGATAGTTTACTCTCTGACTGGAGCAACATAAAGCCAGTAAAGCACATTTTATTTATTCATTGAGTTATTCAGTATTACTTTTTGTAAAATATTTCTTCATTTAGTATTGTGTCCCAGAGTTTAGCCCACCACTGAGTCAGGGTGGTGGGTCACCCTGCCTGCTGCTAACCCACCTGAAAGAATTTCATCTTTCTGGGCTTTAGTGGAGAGCTTTAAAGTGCCATGAGGGTCACAGTGCTTCAGAGGGTTTTCCATTTTGACAAGAATGCGATTCAGTAGAAGTGCAGTATGAAGACTGAAATAAATAAACTGTCACATGTGAAGATGAAAGAAAATAATGACTACAGGCAGATGCAACACAAAGCTCAACACTTCAGTCAAACTGTACACTGTCCACCTTAGTCCGTACAGTAAAAAGCTGTTCTGCTTCCCGCAGGATTACTTTGCTTCCCAATGGGACATTGAAGATCACCAATGTAACCAGACGGGATGCAGCCAGCTACACGTGTGTCGCTAAGAACCAGTTTGGGACTGCAAGCACAACTGGGAGGCTGATTATCACTGGTGAGTCCTGCTCTTCTCCATCAGCAACTCACGCTACACCCTGCCCTCCTTTGTGAGGATTGTGCCTGTTAGGCTTTCCATTCAAGCACTGCGAGAATGCAGTTTCCCATTATAACAGTGGCAGATTTGCCTCCCGACATTCGTAGTAATTTTAGAGACAATGGCTTCTTGATTTCAAACGTAAGAAGACGAAAGCAGCTTCTAACTGGGAACCAATGGCTGTGACAGCTGAAATTACAACTCTCGTTAGCATTTTTTTAATTAGCTGTAGCTAGCCTGCTAACTAACATTAAATCTGTGAGTTTGTTGAACACTTCTTCTCTGGCTGACCTTTCAATGTAGCTGGAAAATTAGAAACTTGAGCAAGTCTTAGGTTAATATTTTGGGAAATATGCTTATGTGGTTTCTTGCTGAGAAAATCAATAAATCAATAACACTCACATGTCTGTGCACTAAATATGAAGCTACTGCCAACAGCCGGCTAACTTAGGTTAGTACAAAGACTGGAAATGGAGAAACAGTCTATCGATCTTCTCATCTAAGTCTTGGCAGGAAAAGAAATAAGCCTATTTTCAAGACTCTCCTGAAACTTTCCTTAAGTTATGCATTTGATATCTACATACATAATACAATATCATTCAAATTCAGTGCTCTAACAATGCAAAAAAAGCTAGTTTGAAAGGGTGGCTTCTTGGGCTCCGTCCTCGAATGTTTTCTCAAAAGCCCAGAATCTTTTAGGCTTTTAAAATGACTTTTTTTCCCCTCTCAGTCTCTCTGACTGGACTGGAAAATCAGTGCAGCAAAAGTTCTATTAATGGGGAAATACTACCATAGGTTCGCCCTAACATTGTCATGGGGGGTTGTTATCTTGTGTATGTAGTGATTCATCCTGTCGTGTCACCTCAGTGAGCAAGCTAGCTAGCTAGCTTACTAGCTTATGGACTATGGACATAGCGAGGCTAAACATTCATTCTGTTAACGCTACTCAAGCATAGTTTAACAAAAATAGGTTTCAAATTTCGTAATGCTGTTTACACCACTTCCATACCATATGTTTTTTAGTAGTGAAAATCCACAACATTTCTTGTGTTCTGGTTTCCGAATCATGAAGACAGAGAACAATTCGATACAATAGTTCAAGTTCAAGATGTTTATTGTAATCATGCAACAACAAGAAAGCAAGCTTTTCCTCTGTCAATGAAATTCTTTCTTTGCTGTCACCCTGATACCGACGCATAAGTACAATAGTAGAATACAATAAGTAACAAAAAACACAATATTACCCAATAATAGAATAGTAAAAAACTCAATATTACAGTAATTTTAAAAGTGTTAGTTTATGTAGTCAGCTAATAACCTGCTAACTCTAGGTTACTAAGACTAGGTTACTGTTGTAGGTAACATACTAGTTACCCATTCATGCTATTGCTTGTGACTAAAGTTTATTTGATTAATCCATTCTTTACACTTTGGCTCTTGTATTTTTTGCTTTTGAAAGGCACAAAAAAATACACCATCCTCTGAACTCCTGCCAAGTATTGCTCTTTCTACAGCCTTCTTTCTAAAGCTTTTACAGGCTCGCAGTGCCTAGTTATGGTTGCAGAGCTATGATTGGCTTATCGAGGGCAGGGGTTTAGAAAATGGTCGATTTCCTTTCAGTTCTTCCAAAATAAAGGTCAACATTCCTTGTCAATCTATGGCTTGAAAATACCCTCATTTATATTCAAGTTATATTGCATATGTAACGTTAACAACCAAGGTTATTGTCAAATTAATACGGCTGGTATACATTATGCAAAATAGCAGTTAAGTAACTAACAAAACATTATCCTTGATTTAATTTAGTTAAAGGTCATTATTTATGAATGCAGTGACATAACACGTACATGTAGTCCTCCAGTTTAATCTGTTGTGTAGCCACCTGACTTATTTTTCTCATTAGCTTCTATTCTTCTCATACACTGACAGCTGAACCATTTAATGTCATAGAATTTAATTACTGTGACCTTTCCTCAACATACTCTGAGGCCTCCAATCCACCACAGTCACCAGTGGGAATGTGCTTCCATCTCTGTAATCCTGTTTCAAACATTTTCTTCCAAATTGATCCTGGAACATAAAGTGCAAACCTGAGATGTCATTAAATGTTGCTAATGGACAGGCTTGAAATTTAAGTGCTTATTAAAATCAGGAAAAGCACACATCCATGGGTAATTTAATGATGGGGTACTTGATTTAGCTGTGAATCGAAGTGAGATGACAGTTGCAGGGGTCACAGTGGTGTTAAAGGTTCCCGTGGCAGAGATATTAACATGCTACGCTGTCGTCTGTTGTCTGGCCAGAGCCCACCAGAATCACCATGAGGCCGACTAACATGGAGATTATTGTTGGCGAGAGCATCGTGTTACCCTGCCAGATTGCCTACGATCCAGCTCTGGATGTGTCTTTCTCATGGGCATTCAACGGCCAGCTCATCGACTTCCAGCGAGACAGCGATCATTTCGAAAGAGTGGGCGGGGTGAGTCATCTCAGGCATTAAACTCAGCTACTTTCTGGCTATTCTGGGATTAATTGGGACATACTGTGTGATGTGCAAGGGTATGCTCCACTGCCCTGCTGAGGGCTTTTTAGACACCAATAATACCCAAGCAGAGAGATTTATGCCAAGATTTGTCCATTTGAAAGTTTCCCCGTGGTCAGCGGTGGATGGAATATCAAAAAGATAGAAATATCTGTGAAGTTACATTCTTTCATTCAGAATGGCACTATCAGGTCAGTAATCGGGATCCTTACCCTTTGAATTGCCTGTTTGAGCTGCCGTGTGTTACACTTCTAAAGATATATTGGTGAAATGCCATTTCACTCATACAGAGTGTCTTCATTAATAAAGTCTTTATATTTTTCATCTCTTCAACTTCTAATTCCCTTACCTCAAGGGAGAACATTTTCTTATCATCTCCCTCTGCCATAATTGAATTTGCATACCTATTTATGAATCTTGAGCCCTGAAATAATTAAGTAATGAGCTTGCTGGCATTCACCAAGGGCAGGCCTGGAACCAGTAAATGTTCATTTGAAATCCTTATACTCTGAAATAATAACAAAGTGACGACTCTTTGTTGAATATTTGTTCCTTTTTGATGAAGAGCAAAGTCAAATGTTCAGAGCTTGTCAGTATGAAATGACTTTACACACTCTTTTTGCTTTTTATAGCACCATTTATCATCCAAGGTCAGCAGTCTGATCACTGCTATTCACGTGTTAAGGTTGACATCATGTCCGAATGCTCTCATTGTGTTATGGACATGCCAAATTTATATCTTTATGAATGCAAATGGCAATTACTAATGACATTGAACTGTGCATCGGCATATAATGAGATATAGTTTTCACAGAATCTGTTTCCCCTGTCCATGGAGATTACCAGCCCCCTGCTCAACAGCTTCTGATGAATTAATTAACATAATTAAAGCAAATCTGCCTCATCACTTCCTTCCTGCCAAGGCAGGACGCCATGCTCTCGATCGCAAGCTCTCAGGTCGGCCAGGTGGTGGCTGACATTGCAGAAAGAATCAGACATGGCAGAGCCTCGCGTAGAAACTGTCAGGTGAAAGCAGAGGAGATGAAAGGAAGGGGAAAGGAGAAAAGAGAGCAGGAGAGGTAGTCTTTTTAGCCTGTGGCCGCATAGAAGTGCCATTCGACTTAGCGTTGCTTTGTCAGGTGTTTGAGAGAGGTGGAGATCCACAGGCGTTCTTGCCCAGTTTTAGCAGACTAGAGCTATGATCACTAGCCTCTGGGGGTGATGAAATCTGCTATGACTGGAGTCATACCTGGCTGGGCCCTCAAGTAATGCGTTTCTAAAGCAACACAATACTTTTCACAGGCTGACATGCTTTGTGACAGGACACTTCAAGAGGTAACTTTCAGAAGGTGGATTCCCAAGCACAGTCAAAATGAGGACAGAACTTTTTACCTTGGCACACATGTAATTTTAAAGGATTAGGCTGGTGACTAGGGATGAGTAAACCATTAGCTGTGTCTGTATTTGTTCAACCAACTAAATAATCTGTATCCATATCTTTCCTCAGAATATGTGTAGCTTAAACCGGACATGGGCAGGACTAACGGAAAGTTGATAATTTAAGCCTGAAATTTATATGGGTTAACCAGAAGTTGCTTTATTCATTAGTAACCTATTTCAGCCTCACAATTGAGCAATGGCAAGGGAATATTTATTGTTTATTAAAAAAATGGATCTTGGCAAATTTTTCTGAGGATACCCGTACTTGTAAAATGTACATTATCCATACCAGATACTTGTTTCAGCCGAGTACTCGCTCAACCCTAGTGGTCACATTCTATGTTTTTGTTATTGGCAACGACTCCCACCAGAACAAAACCATCATTATTTTGCTCCTACTTATAAAGTCCGCTTTACAGGTTAAGTGCATGTGTCTAATAACATATTGTGTCAGACTGTACAAAAACTAATTTTAGGGATGCCACAATAAATGTTTGGTAAATTGTAATGGTTTTTTTTGGTGACACTTACCATATATGTGCCAATGTGGTTGTTACATTTCCATTTATAAGTACAGGCATAGGCAATACAGTCATCAATAAGTGGCAGATGGATGTTGCATCAGGGACAGTCACAGAGTTCAGCCTTACAAACGGTCAGGTACAGAACCTTGGACTGCCGTCGGACTTCTCATCCAGGACACATGGTGAGCTCCATGGACTGGAGCTGGGCACAGCGAATCCATGTTCCACAAGATAGTCCACCTCCTTCCTCATGCACTCCCTCTTCGCAGGATTAACCCGGTAGGCATGCTGTTTGATGGGTCTTGGGTTAGTTAAGACAATGTCATGTGTAATGACAGTAGTTTGAGAGGGGAATATCATTTAAAAGCAAGCATGGGAAGCGCAGAAATTAGATTCTCAACATCACCACCGATGATGCATCAGGAAGGTGAGCTAGAAAGTGAGACCAAATCAGAAAGTAGCTCCAGAATTGCTTCCAGTCTTTACCCCCTGTTGGGTGTAGCACTACGCATAACCAGCCCATCCTCCTTCAGCAGAGCTCACCAGTTGAGAAAAAACCAGATACTGGTGACACCAACATCTTTTACCCTTCGGAATCACCAAGCGTTCCACTTCCATCTTCTGCGTGTATAGTATGGTCTTCAATCTGTTACCATGACACAATCTGTTTCTGCGCCGTTGCCGGTCAGGAGTTTGAATGATAAAGTTTAGTGTCACTGACTTTTTCTTCTCCACAACATAAGGACCGAAAGATTT